AGAAGTCTTCGAAGAAGTTGAAGTGAAGAAACCTGATGCAACTTTTTTGACAAAAACAGATTTTGTTTACTTTCACGGGCGCCTATTTACACCTGGCGAGGAGCAGCAGCAGCAGCACTGGCAGTGCGGCGCTGCACGATTTTGGCAAACGTTTTCTGGTCGTGCTTTTGCTTTCACATCACTATCAAAACAAGATCCCTCTTCTTCAGCTTCTTCAACTGACATCGACCAAAGACCGGTGTCAACGACTGAACTGAACCCAAACTTGAACCAATCGGCTACCACAGCAGACAAGAGCAGCAGACAAGATGATCAAGACGCCGACGAATCAGCAGCGCCTGACCAATGTCGCCATCGTGCGCATGAAGAAGTGCGGCCAGCGCTTCGAGATTGCCTGCTACAAGAACAAGGTGGTCTCCTATCGTGACAAGGTGTAAGTGTGTGCTTTGGGATTGCTGCTTTTTTAACACACACAAAACTAACCACCATTTTTTTCAATTTTCATTCCTACATTACAGCGAAAAGGACATCGACGAGGTGCTGCAGACGCAGACCGTCTTCACCAACGTCTCCAAGGGCCAGCTGGCAAAGAAGGAGGACCTGGTGAAGTGCTTCGGCACCGAGGACCACCTCAAGGTCTGCCTGGAGATCCTCACCAAGGGCGAGCTGCAGGTGAGCGAGAAGGAGCGCGCCGTGGCCCTCGACTCCACCTTCAAGGACATCGCCACCATCATCGCCGACAAGTGCGTCAACCCGGAGACGAAGCGCCCCTATCCGGTCGGAATGATCGAGAAGGCGATGCGCCAGGTGCACGTCTCCGTGAAGCCGAACCGCACCTCGAAGCAGCAGGCGCTGGACATCATTCCCCAGCTGAAGAAGGTGATCACCATCGAGCGGGCGCAGATGAAGCTTCGCGTGGTGACCAACAAGAAGAACAAGAGCAAGCTGAAGGAGCTGATGGGCGAGCTGGAGGCGGAGAGCGCGCTTGAGGATGGGCAGATTGAGATGGTAAGAGGAGAGGCTGCTGTTCTATTTTCCAGTTTCTAAAATCATCTTTTTCAGATCTTCACCACCGACCCCGGCCACTACCGTCAGATTGACCAGCTGGTGAACAACACGCCCAAGTCGGAGCTGCACGTCCTCCTCCTCCAGGAGATGGTCGACGGCGACAGTAAGCTCGATTAGCTGCAGCAGTACCGGCAACTTTACAACTCCTCAACTCGGCCAACCTTTTTCCGCTTTCCTTTCCAACGCTGAACTGAACTCGTTTTTATTATTTCACGCCTTGTAAAATACCTCCTCCTCCTAACCCTCCTCCAGCCCTACAATATTAATAATCAACACAATCAGCCGCCACCACCGCCTCCTGGAGATCGCCTCCTTCGATTGGAGCCTTCTCGATTTCCACCTCCGCCACCACCACCACCACCTCCTCCATCTCTCCTCTGAAGAAGATAACTGTTTTCAAGGATAGTCCTGGTACTGCCTCGCCGACTCTCCTCCGGGTGAAGCAGCTCCTCCATCAGGCGGTACGCCTCCTGGGGGAGGACCTTACTCTGGGCGGCAAACTGCGACCGGAGGTACTCCGGGTGGCGGTGCATCTCCTCCACCGCCCGCTTCCGGTCGTGGTAGTGGAAGGGAAACTTGCCGAAGAGCATCACGTAGAGGGAGACGCCCATGGAGAAGATGTCCGCCTTGAAGGCGTTGTACTTCTGCCGCTCCACCATCTGCACGGCCATGTAGGGGGGCGTTCCGCAGATGGTGCCCGAGCTGGTGACCAGCGCCCGGCGGCGGGCGTCGAAGCAGCACTTGCTCTCGCCAAAGTCGGTCAGCTTGCAGACCCAGTCGCCGGTGAGGAGCATGTTGTCCAGCTTCAGGTCGCGGTGGCAGGTGGCCAGCGTGTCGTGGAGGTAGTGCAGGCCGGAAGCGGCCTGGAGGAACCAGCGGGCGACCAGGCGGTCGGCGATGCCGCCGTGGCGGACGCCGTAGTGGGCGACGTCGCCGTTGGCGGCGTATTCCTGTCGGGGAGGAGGAGGAAGAAGAGGAAAAGAAGGTTATTATTATCAGATCAAGAAGATAATACACGAAGGTTACCATGAAGACGAAGATCCGGTGCTCCGCGCGGAAGATGTCGTACACGTGAATCAGATTCTCGTGATGGGCCTCCATTAGGGTGTGCAGCTCGCGGGGGAGGAACTTCGCCTTGCCCGGGCCGTCCAGCTTGCCCAGGTCGAGGATCTTCACGGCGTACGACTTTTCGCTGCCCTTGTCGCCTCCTTTTCCGCCGCCGCCGCCTCCTTTGCTGCTCTTGCTGCTGCGTCGTGTGGCCCGGTAGACGACGCCAAAGGCGCCCTCGCCCAGCTTGTTCCTCAGACTGTAGCCCTTGCGGTTGATGACGGCCACCGTTTTGGGCGTCAGATTTAGGGGCGGCTGGGAGGAGGACATCGGTGGGAGAGAAGTAATGGTGGTGATGGAAATCTAAATGGTGGTGGGAAAACGGCTGCATCAGCACACCTGCCGCTGCTTTTAACCTGGAAAAAGAAGAGGAAAAGAAGAAATCGAACTCGTGAAAAAGAGAGAACTTTTTAAGGTATTTTTATGTGTGTGTGTGTGTGTGTGTGTGTGTATGTGTGTATGTGTGGTAGTGGGGGAGGGGGGAAGCTACAATTTTGAATCGATAAAAGAATTTGTTAAAAAAATAAAAAGTTAAAACCTGGAAAAATTTAGAATTTGAAGATTTAAAAATTAGGCCCTAAGGTGTGTGTGTGCGCTAATGTGTGTGAGTGTTCTTGAAGAGGCGGCTGTGTGTTTGTGTGTTTGGCTAAAAGAATGGGCCACCTCTCTCTCTCTTTCTTTCTTTCTCCCCTGCTGCCTAGCAGTAGTACAGCTGGTTCTTCAGCTTGTCGTTGATCTTCACCAGGGTGTTCAGCTTGGCGATGATCTCCCGCTCCAGTGCCTCCTGCTTCGACTGGTCCGAGGAGGCGGTGGTCACCTCGACCAGGTTGCGCTGCGCCTCGATGTGCAGCTTGCTGCGGTAGCAGCAGAGGTCAGCGTAGCGGACCGGCGTGGGAATGGCGATCACGCCGCGGGTGCGCACATTGTTGTGGCACAGGAGGAAGACCATCTTCTGCACCTGGTCGGCGGTCATCTTCAGGTCGTCGCGGAGGATGACGTACTTGGTCGGGCGGGAGGTTCCCTGCGAAGAGAAAGTAAATTGAGGTTAGAAACAACAAATCAAAATCAAAGTCAAACTCAGCGGTCACTTCTTACCAGCGGCGAGAAGTGACTGTTCAGGTAGAACATCTTGTAGAGCGGCTCGACGATGGTCGTGTCGACGACGGTGCCGCTGGGCACGTTCCAGGTGGGCTTGCGACCGGCGTTGTTCGCCTGCGTCAGGGCGAAGCGGGCGTTGTGGTGCTTGTTGGTGACGATCACCACGAGGTTCATCTTGGCCCGGGTCACCTTGTTGATGGCCGCCTGGATGTTGGGAATCTCGGTGGCGGCCACCTTCGCCAGCTGGCCCTCGGAGACGCCGTCGCGGAAGAAGATGAGGTTCTCGGGCAGGGCGTTGTTGTTCACCTTCTGGTACTCCGTCAGCAGCTCCACCACCATCGGCTCGAGGTTCTTGAGGATCTCGTCGCGCTCCTTCTTCTGCACGCGGATGCTCGCCGCGTAGCGGCTGAAGTTGGCGTCCAGCGAGCCGACGGCGGCCGAAACGCTGGAGGCGACGCGCTCCGTCTCCGCGGGGTGGTTCACATCGGCGCCGATGAACATGGTGCGGCCGGTGTTGAAGGGGAGGGTGGCCACCAGGCGCGGGTCGACCACGGCGTTGCGCCCATCGAGCTTGCCGTTCACCTTCAGGAGGAACTGGTCGAAGTAGCCGCCGGGCAGCTGGTTGACGTACTCCGCCTTGAAGCACTGCGAGGCGATGCCCAGCGACTGGTCGCAGGCGAACTTGACGAGGCCGTAGAGATGCGAGGGCGGCATCGGCTGGAAGCCTGTTCGAAAAGGGGGAGGGGGGGGGAGAAAGTGTGTTTAGTACAAAGTAAACAACTGAAAGAGGAAAGCTCACTTACGCGTGGGAATGCCGACGAAGATGAACTCCGCGTGGGACTTGATCTGCAGGTTGGAGAAGACGTTGTGCACCATGGAGGCGTCGCGGATGGCGACGCAGGCGCAGGGGTGCGGCGGCCCCAGCTCCAGGCCGAACATGCGCGCCCGGTCCATCATGTTCTTCACGAAGCCCTTCAGCTGCTCGGCGGTGATGCTCGTGTCGAAGCAGAAGACGCCCCAGTGCTTGGGCGTCTTCCCCACCAGGTTGAACTTGTCGTTGCGGTTGGAGTTGAGCAGCTGGGGCGTGTTGAGGACGCGGCCCATGAAGCTGACCGGCTTGGTGTCGACGGCGACGCCGAAGTCGGCCATGATGGCCGGCTCGCTGGCGGCCACCTTCTCCACGATCTTGCTCAGCTTGTTGAAGTAGACGTTGGGCGTGTTGGTCGCCTTGAGGAGGAGCTCGCGCTGAATTTGGGTGTTGATTTTGGCGTTGCTGAGGAACTGGTTGGGGACGAGGAAGAGCAGCTCGAGGGGGACGTAGCAGCTCGCCTTGGTCATGCGCATCACCGGCATGTTCAGGCACTCGATGTTGTACTCGTTGCGGAAGTGGTCGGCGATGGTGATCTTCGTGCCGGTCTTCTTGCAGGGAAAGGTCAGCTCGCTGGGGTTCTTGTCGATCAGCCCGTCGACGGTGTAGTGGACGCGATTCTTGCTGTGCTCGGTGTAGACGCGCAGGTGGCGGATGAAGCGGTTGAAGTCGCTNGCGCTGAATTTGGGTGTTGATTTTGGCGTTGCTGAGGAACTGGTTGGGGACGAGGAAGAGCAGCTCGAGGGGGACGTAGCAGCTCGCCTTGGTCATGCGCATCACCGGCATGTTCAGGCACTCGATGTTGTACTCGTTGCGGAAGTGGTCGGCGATGGTGATCTTCGTTCCGGTCTTCTTGCAGGGAAAGGTCAGCTCGCTGGGGTTCTTGTCGATCAGCCCGTCGACGGTGTAGTGGACGCGATTCTTGCTGTGCTCGGTGTAGACGCGCAGGTGGCGGATGAAGCGGTTGAAGTCGCTGATCTGCTGGCGGGTGGGCCGCTGGTTGACGTTGATGCCGGCGACCATCTGGGCGAGGTCGAGCACCTTGACGATGTTGCGGCTGATGACGCAGGAGGTTTTGAGGTGGACGTTAAGCGAGAGGCCGAACTCGGTCATGCGGACGGCGGAGGTGAAGCCGCTGACGAACTCGGCCAGTTGGACCTGTGTGTTGGGGAGGATAAGAAGAAGATAAGTTAGAAAATGAAAAACAGTGCTTTTGTTGTTGTTGTTGTTACCTTTGGTGAGCTGCTGATGGTGCCCATGTCGAAGAGCTTTCGCTGGAAGGCGGCGTAGTCCTTGCCCATGATGAAGCGCAGCACGTGCTCGTAGATGGAGATGACCCGTTCGCTGAGGTCGGCCTTCTTCTTCGTGTAGTACTNAATCACGCAGGAGGTTTTGAGGTGAACGTTGAGCGAGAGGCCAAACTCGGTCATGCGGACGGCGGAGGTGAAGCCGCTGACGAACTCGGCCAGTTGGACCTGTTAAAAGAACATAAGTTAGAAAATGAAAAACAGTGTTTGTTGTTGTTGTTACCTTTGGTGAGCTGCTGATGGTGCCCATGTCGAAGAGCTTTCGCTGGAAGGCGGCGTAGTCCTTGCCCATGATGAAGCGCAGCACGTGCTCGTAGATGGAGATGACCCGTTCGCTGAGGTCGGCCTTCTTCTTCGTGTAGTACTCGATCACCTCCTTCACCGGGACGTTCTCCACCATGCGCACGCGAACGTTGAAGTCCGCCGGGTGGCCGTCGATGTCGATCTGCACGGCGAACTTCACGCTGGGCTGGCCCTTGAAGTCGAGCATTCGGGTGGTGTAGAGGTTCTTCTGGCCGTCGTGGACGAGGCGGACGCCGGCGAAGGTCTCATTGTCGGCGATCATCTTCGAGATGACCTGGCTGGCGAAGCGCATCACAAAGCGGTCCGAGCTGGTGGAAGGCGCTGCTCCGCCGGCGCCAGCGGCGTCGCCGCCCGGGGCAGCCCCGCCGCCGGCGCCCGTGGTCGGCTCGCCGACGTTCACCTCGCCGCTGGTGTCGGTAGAGGGCGAGTCGGAG